GAACTCACCAAAAAGGGTTTGCTGTCCCGGGGAGGGGACACAGAGGGAAATGTCCCCCTTTTCCCTGCTCTGCTCCCTCACACCGGGATGGGGTGACATCCAAGGGGTCACCTGTGCCCTGGAATGCCCAGGACACAGTGGGGGGCACAGGAGCTTTCCCCAGGATCCCGGGAAAGCCACGGTGGGCGCACATTGTGTGTGGGGGGTCCTGTTAGTGTTAAAAATGTGGGACTTTCCCAATTTTGTTTAAAAGGCAAGTGATGGCAGACTGAAAACAAGGAATGGCGAGATTCCTGCAACCAAGGAATGGAAACGGAGCAGCTCTGCCCATCCCAGTCCCCCGTATCCCGGGAGGAATCCCCTTCCCCGGGTGCCAGCCAAGCTCTGCTCCTCTCCCTGTCTCTGAGCCCCACTCTGGCAGCTCCGGGTGCCTGGGAGACAGTGACAGCCCTGGGAATTCCATCCCAGGGATCTCCTGCCTCTGGAGAGCAGCCAGAGAACCTGCCAGTGTCCTGCCTGCACCAGTGACTCCGACCAGCAGCCCCAGTTTGGGCTGCAGGGATTCTCCCTCCAACTGGACCACGACAGCAGGGGGGGGATCAGCAGAGCCCAGGGGTCTCCTCCAGCCCCCCTTTCCCATGGGAAATGCCAGGCTCTGGCGTTTCAAACCCAATCCAGAGCTCGGGGGGGGGAAGGGGAAGCTCCCAGGATTTCCCATCAGGTGTGGCTGGTTTGATACTTTCCTTCTCTTCCCAAAACCAACACCCGTGTTCAGGATAACCGGGAATGGCCACAAACGGTGCCTCTGCCCACGGTGGGAGGCTGGACCTGATGATCCCAGATTCCAACCTAATTGTGGGATTCTGGGAGCGCTGGCCTCGTTCTGAGAAGCTGCTGAGCCCCGGGACCTGCCCTGTGGACACGGATCGGGTCCGGCAATCCCGGGATCCGTCCCCTTCCCGACAGATCCGGAGGCTGGGCAGCTCCAGGGGATGTCCCCGAGCTCCAGGTTCTCTCCCGAGCATCTCCAAGGCTCAGGGGGAGGAAGGTTCTCCTGCTCCCCCTCTTCCTGCTCCCTCTCCCTGCTCTGTGCCAGGTCAGCCCCCGGTGCTCCCTCTCAAATCCCAGTTCGAGATTCCCAAGGGATGGGAACTGAACCGTTTCTTCTCCTCCTCACCCTCATCTCCCCTGAACTCCCTCGGTCGCCTCCCACTCCACCCCATTCCCCGGCTCCAGGGGAAGGAATTCCACTCGCTGCTCCCGGCCAGGGAGACGGGAAATGCCGGGAAATGTGCCGGGTTTAGAGTTTGGGGCTGAAACTCCCCCAAAAGGCCGATTTTCCCAGATTCTGGATGCGCACCAGGAAGCCCCTTTGTCCCCCCTGCCCCTCCACATTTGGGGACAGCACAGAGACCCCCCAAAAGCAGCCTGGGGGGGGCTGGTCCCGGCCTGCCCCATCCCTGGGGCTCCCTAACATTCCTCCCAGGATCTGCCCTGGCCACTGGCTGCTCCCCCCCAGGACCATTCGGAGCCCTGGGATGCAGGGAAGGGGCCCCCCCACCTCCCTTCAGCCATTCCCAACAGGGATTTTTCCAGCTGGGTTTTTTTTTTTGTTGGGGTTGTTGGTTTTTTTTATCCTCTTTTTTTTTCGGTACTGATTTCCTACAAAATCCTACAAGATCCGCTCCCACCCGGGCCCCCTCCTCGTTCCCTCTCCAGAAACAAGAGCAAATTCCTGCTGGTTGGAGACTAAATTGGATCAGAGCACTCGGAGCCGTGTCCAGAGCCAGGTCCCAGAGCTCACATCCCACTAGGAAAACCCGCAAACCCCCTCCCCCTCACTGCCT